TAAGGTCGCATGTCTATGGACTCTCATAAATTGTTTTTTGGCATATGGTTTGTATTGCCCCCCATCATCTTAGACGATTAATTTTAAAAATCAATTTTGAAGTTTTAAAACGAAATTATATAGACAATTGTGAATAAATTTTGTTTCACTTGAAATGTCACGATGACGCATTATTATTTGCGCGTCATTCCTTATTTGTATTTTTATGCTAGTTGTTTTATAATGTGACTTGTGCAAAATTTCTAGAAAAACTCAAATTGTAACATCATTTCAATCAGTGTTATCTTAGAAACGCCAAGGAAATAATATGTAATTTGACCAATTTATTTGTACCTGCGTCACCCCCTTAATTAAATTAAAAAAATGATGTCATACACCACTAAAACTTCCTAAATTTAACATTTTTAATATTTTGTTATATAATCCACTCATTTATTTTTATCAAATACATGGAAAAAACATTAAATTAAAAAAAAAATTTTTTTTAGGTATAACTTAGCGACAAATGAGTGGAATGAAAATCTGTGTCATTTTTTGTTGAAAATTCGACGCTTTGCAAAATTTTTGAAAATTTTTGCATGCTATTTCCATACAAATCTTTGATTGAATTGCGCTTTATCTAAAAGTTAATATTAAGAGCTAAAACTTTCAGAGAATTATTTTTTTATCAATTGGGAACCATTTGAGCCCTTGGGAGCAAGGAAATACGAAAATGTCCATATTAAGAACCATCCTAATATATATGAATAATTTTGTATTGGGAGTGGAACGAATACCTTTATTTTTTTGTATACTTATGTAATATATATCTTTATTTCATAAGATTACAGACGTGTCGAGACCAAGATATGTCTAATTTTCATATAAATATTACTTTATATGTAATTAACTCCCCGTAGGGCAAGTTATAGTATAGGGTGCATTCGCGTTGGACGTTTACGCGCTGTGATGCTTATTTATCTATGCGCTCACGCTTATAAGCACAAATTTTTAGCGTTCGACTTGGCCGATAAGCGCTTAGAATCGATAACTAAATTTCGTTCGTTTTGGATACTGTGAGCGTCAATAAGCATCAAAATGGCGGTAACGGTAATTGTGTAAATTTTATTACTTTCTGGATCATTCAGCGGGATTATAAAGAATTTAACAATTAATAAATAAATGAAATTTGGTTAGCTTATGCTTAATTAATATTAATATTAAAATTAAATTTTAAAATTATTTAAAATCAATTAAATTTAAAATTAATTAATATTAATATTAATATTAAAAAATAATTGTGATATACAGCTTGGTATTTTTGCGTAATTATAAAGAATTGAACTATTAATGAATAATCGAAATTAGGGTTAGGTTATGCTTTCGTTGTATTGGTTTTGACAGATGACGATCACGCTTTCAACTGCCTTACCCTTATGCTTATTTATCTAGGGCCTTACCTCTGTGGCGTGAGCATGTATGAGCGCAAAATATGTGCTACGAACACGCTACGATGATGCTACGAGCGTACTTATGTGACATTCACAGCGACAAGTCGAACGATGAAAATGACATGTAAGCGCGCTCACAGCGCGTAAGCGTCCAACGCGAACGCATCTATAGTAATCGCAAAAAATCGATTTTTTTTATATCTTTACGTTTCAAAGGTTTCTGAATATTTTGGCATACTTTAAAAAAAAATGGATATGTGTGCGTGTGTGTACATGCGGATACAAACTTTCGTCGACGATTTTGGGAACACAGATCAACCGATTTAAATAATTCAAAAAACATTCCTTTCGTACTGATAAGAAGATGTGCTGATTAGTTTTTTGCGGAGACAGGTCTAGCCGTTCCGAAGATACGGGGCAAAACGTGCCAAAAACGGTAACACGGTTTTTAAGAGAACGGAGCGATTTTAAAAATTCAAAAAACATTTTACTTGTATTAACAAGACGAAGAACTGATCAACTTTTCAAAAAGTAAAAGAAATGCCATTTGTGGTCAAAAATGATCATTAGACATATGCACATCAAATTATTAGATACTTTATAGAGATTTTAACAATAAGTATAAATTTTGTTTACATTCCTATAGGTTCCGTACCAATGTTTATCCATTAGACGGCGACGCGGCGCTTACGCGCTTCGATATTTCGTCTCTATGCAGTAAAAGCAGTACAATTGCTTTGAAAAAAGTTCCGAATTTCCAAAATATTTCAAAATAAATTTTTCTTCAAAAAGTCTTTTTTTTCAAAAAAAAAGTAAATTTTTGTCAAAAATGCATAGTTTCTCAAAAATCTATTTTTTTTTCAGAAATGTTAATCTTTTTAAAAAAAAATAATTTTTAGTACGGGAAGTTGCAACAATTTGCCTTAAAGCACGATGCCATGCGCCCCCCTAGTTATAGTTACACTTTTTACTGTAAGAATTTACACTAAAGATATACGAAATAAAGCACGCGAATTTTTTTAATCTAATGTGGTTTATAATATTTATAATTTTTAGTACGTAATTTTTATTAAAATATTTGACATTAATATAAGAATATAGACAGAATTACAAATAATTGTCAATCTAATGTTTCGAAAAAATACAAAATATTTGAAGTTATTTTTATTTTTTTAAGTGAGGGAAATTTCCTGTTCCTCGCGCCGCTGCCGTACGTCTGCGATGAATTCTTGAAGAAAGCGAAAAATCTGGATGATGCATATAACAGCACTCGCTATCAGGAAAAGATTGGCTCTATTGAATGATTTCAGTCACATCGTTTTAGTTATTTGATTATTGTATAAATAAATATTAATAGATCACCAAAGAAGTCTTGGACGATTCGGACATATTCGATGCAGGAGACTACCGTGGATACGACGACAGTGTATCGGCTGAGCATTCGATGCATCTCCTCCGTCTGCTGGTAGCTTGGAACGCTGCCGAAAAGGCGCTGAACGGGGCGCAGGACGTCCATGCTTTTTGGGAGATTTATACCTGTTTCTCTGCCAACCATATGATTTAAAAATGATTTAAAATTATTAATAGTTACCCAGACATAATTTTACAGTGAAACAATTAGGAAAAATGTGTTTTTTCATTATGAATATAGTCATATGTAAATAAAAATCGTTAACAGGAAACTTAACACTAAATTTACAGGTGTTCGAATTATATTATACATTTGCTTTTTACATCGAATTCCATACAAAATTTGATACCTAATTAATTCGGTTTATTTGACATTTACAGGGTAAATTAGCATCTTGCTTTATTAGGTAATAATTGTCCATCGCTCAGTTTGTAACAAACCTGGCTTTTCTCTATAAATTTTTCCCATATTTTTGAAATTATGGTAAACTCCGTATTTGATATAGATTTTTATTCTAAAAAATATCTTTCACAAATACATTACAAAGTTACCTTTGTGGATCAATTTTTCTGGCAAAAACTTTTAAACCCTTCTGTGAGTCAAATTGGCTCATACCGTGGAAATAGATATACAACATTCGAAAATGCGAAATGCGAGAAAACGGAAAGAATATGTAAACACATTTCATTACATAACTAAAAACTAATGTATATTTGTGAAAAGTAATCAAAAAAACTTTTACTGGGTCAAATTGGCTCGAACCGTTAATCTAGTGTTAACGAACAAATAGAGCCATTACAAGTTACAGAAATCATTTGAACGATTTCAAATAAACTTAGGCTCGATGACTATTACAACTTTGCCGTTTGCATTGCACGACGAAACGAACATATGATTGCAGCAAACGGTAAGAAGATATATTTGTCAAATATTGAAAAAAAAAGATTTATCAAGGGCGCCATAAAAAATTTCGATTTGTATTGGAAAACTACAGTGTGATTATAGATAAAATCAAAATTGACTACACAATTCTCAGCCGAAAACTAAGCTTGCGCGGTCCAGATATAGAGCCTGCTTTTTAAAAAAAAGTTTGATCCCATTGATCTTAATATGAAAATAACTTTTAACTGTAGTAATTATTGCTTATTATTTATTAAGTTTTTCAACATACCATTATATTACTTAACTTAATATTAATTCTGATATACTTTTCAAATATTTTCTGCATCAACGCGAGGGTTCCGTAAACGATGAACGGCGGATATAACAGAGGAAATATCATCATCACAATAAGGGAAACCGTAAACAAGATTTTGAGCCAAGTGGGACATGGGACACGAAGGCACCACACTACTCCTAGTTGCTCCCAAAATGGTTCCAAGTAAAGCACCGCTTTGCCGAAGATATTCGCCTGTTTGCGCTACAAAATCATTAAGTGGTTTTCATCATATTTAAAACGGTTTAAAATGGGTTTCGATTTTTAAAAATGTAAGTATAAATTTTAGAAACAATTCTTGTTTACAATGTTAAGAAATTGAAAGAAGTTACAAGGAAAAATAATGTATAATGAAAAAATGTTTCTATATTTTATTAATTATATAAAAATATTTACAAATTTAACAATAACAATCAACAAATAACGTTAAAGTTTAACAAATTATAGGAATTAATATTTATATACACAATGTTTATCATATAATAAAATAGTTACTGTTAATGACATATTAATTAATATTATTTATAATTAATTTACATTTTACATTAAAATAAATATAAACTTATTTTATATGAGAATAAAGTTATATAAATATATTATCAGTATATACAATTAATAATTAAATAATTCCATAAACTACTGAAGATAAGTTCATTAGAACAACTCTTTATAATCGTATCAATTACAAAATCCAGAATAAATTATTATTTTAAGGAACTTTCTATAGCTTTACAGCGTACATATTAAATGAGTTTTAAATAAAAACTATTATATTTTACTTACTTATAAATAAATAGAATATCTGATATGAATTAATTGCTAATTGTGGCATAAAATTATTAATAGCAATTGTTTGTGAAGCTATTACCAGAAACGATTATTAGTTTACCAATGAAAATAATAAGAAAAAATATTCGTCGAAGGACTATAATGCAAGGGCCCAATCAATACAAAATTTGCCATAAATCATTAAAAGAATTCGACTTGGCTTACCCTATAGATTTCCCTGTTGCGACCCATGATATATGGTTTCATAGTTTTGTACATTTTGTACAACCCACCGGAAATTTACTTTATCCCTAATTACATCACATTTTAGTTTTATTAAAGAGAACTGAAAATTTGGAATTTACATTGCTATTTTTTGACATGCCTTATTAGATGTCATACGCTCATTTATTTTGAATCATCTATTCATTTCATTCCTTTTTGTGTGATTGGCGGATCTATGCCTAAATCGGATTTTAATCGGATATTTCGGACGCAGGACCAGGTCGGCATTGAATATGACTTCATTCGGCTTTGTGATGGCTTCTAACTTATATTTTCTTAAGACCGTTGATATCACAGACTTGTCTTCATACAAGGCGAATCTCTGACCTGAAATTAAATTCAGAGAAATAATGTTATTAAATAGAACGCTATTGACGGTAAATGTAATTTAATTGTTTTAATAGGACGTTGATAAATTGGGTTTGGATCATTTTCATACCTATGCAGTTGCGCGGACCTGCGCTGAAAGGGATATAAGCAAAGGGATGCCTTTTCGCGCACTCCTCGGGTAGGAACCTGTCGGGATCGTAACGTTCCGGGTCTGGAAACAAATCCGGGTCACGATGTAAGTCAAATATATGAATATGAACTATTTGACCGGCTGGTATAATACGGTCCTCTGCAATTCAAATGCCAATAGTATAGGTTTTGCATTAACAAGTCAAGTTAGGTTTTTGGTAATACTTACTGAGGACAAGTGGCTCTGTAAGAGCTCTCGATATGAGTGGAACGCTCGGGTAAAGTCTCAGCGATTCTTTGATGCACCTTTCAAGAAAACGCATTTCGTTCAAATCTGGTATCGTGGGAACTCTGTCCGAATTTCCAAAAATTTGACATTGCTCTTGATAAGCTTTATCCTGAGAAAAAACAAATACATAGTAAAATTGTATTGTTCATTCACATGTCATTTTGTTTTACCTGATATTCGGGATTATTAGCAAGGCAGAATAGTGCAAATATTATAGCCATGGATACTGTGTCGTGTCCCTAAAATAATTTGATAATTTATTATTACTTATCGAGCCTCGTCCATTTAATAGTATTTTTGCATAAACATTTTTATACCTCAAACATGAATGTGTCAACTTCTTCGCGAATGCCTAATTCATCAATATCTGCCCCTTCGTGTTCTGCCAAAAGGAGAAGATCCAGCATTGCCAATCGTCTTTTGTGAGCGGGAACAACCGGCAATTGCGGAGTTTGTCCTGTAGAAGAATGATAATGAATTTCTGATGATTGTTGACGCAATCGCGGATTAAAATCGCTAAATACCTATAAAATCCATTTTCCTCTTCCGTATTACGTCCCCGGTAAATGAATGCAGTGTAGAGACTACGCGCCTTTGTTCCATGCCGCTGGGGCTCAATGCGAACAGGCACATGGGTCTCAGCCAAGGCCTCACGAGACGATGCACCAGCAGCTCACCCATTCTTTTAATAAACGACAAATTTTTTGTAAGACTATTTTATGTTTTCGATTTGCTAAATTATTAACTCTAATCAGTTGTGACTTCAATGTCATTTGTTCCATGGAAGTTAATACAACACTCGAATGAATTAGTGTCGATGTATAATTATAAAATGGCCAAAGTACCAGATTTATAAGGTGAATATACAATAAACTAGTGGTGTATGGCATCGTGCCTTGAAACAAATTGCTGGAATTTCCCGTACCTTAATGAAATATTCGAGGAATAATAAATGTTTTCAAATAGATTGTTATAAATAATGTAACCTTCATTATTCTTATTTTATAAAAAGTAAATAAACAAAAGTTAATCAAGCGGTGTTAGAATGAAGAACATTGTCTAATATTTCTGAGAATTATATAAATTGAATTGTTAAGTTAAAATTATTTATTTGAAGTAAATAAGTGATGCTTAGACCTTTTAAAGCAATTGAAATATAATACATTCTCTTTTTCCAAAAGCGATCGTTTCGTCAACACAAGCAGAAAGTTTTTTTAAATCATAAAAACTGACATTTTCAGCACTTTTTGTCTCCAAATATCCATATCTCCGAAGCCGCTGGACTTCAAAAATTAATTAGCACGCCATAGGAATCGAATGTTTTTTGAACCATTCAAATCGGATAATCAGTACGCCCGAAATCATCGACGCAAAATTGTCTCCAGACATATACACACACATCCATTTTATTCTGAGGTATACCAAAATGATCAGAAACTACTGAAACGTGAAGATATGGAAAAATTTTCATTTTCGATTTTTTGCCCATTACGCACAAAATGGCATATATGAACAAACTGACACAGTGATCTTATTTAAAAATAGGCTAGTATTATTGATGTTTCCGTGACTGTATAATATGAAGAAAGCTATAATCATAATAGTCAGATGTTGAGCGTCATTGTCATTTTTGTCGCAGTAATAAGTTAAAACGTGGTGGTTTTCCCAAGTTTTCTGTTGACCAATTTATTGTTATTTGAAATTATATTTATTAGAATTAAAGAACTTACCGGTACCCAGCTATTTCGATTGATTTTATTGCGCTTATCAAGTGTTTGTAACTTAGATTATTTATTCATTTTTGTGCACTTTCGGACAAAGTAACGTACTTAGTGCAATAAAAATAATGACATAGTATTATTTCGCAAGCACTACAAGGGTAGTTCATTCGAGTACAAGTGAAAAGAAAATTAAAACCTGTTATCCGAACTATATGCAAAAAATGGTTTTTGTGATTTGTTAGAATTTTATTATACTTTCTATTGAATTAAAAGAGTATGTTGCTGGGAGCCAATGAACCTAAGATGGGCAAGACCGATTGGGACTAATAATAATATTAAAAAACAAAACACCATGTCATTTTATCCGTATTTCCCGTAATTATTATGAACTTAATTCTTGCCATGACGTCGTTATAATAAAAATACCAGAGTACATCACAAATATTAATTTTCAATAAATAGATAATGAAATGATGAATAATTCGTATATCGATAAAAGAACAAAATTTTCATTTTTCGAATACTGATGAAATTATTTTCTACATTTTCACATTTTCGAAATCTTCTGTCGATTAAGTTTTTTCTTCATATCAAACATATTATTATACTAATAAATATAATATTATACTATTTGGACAGTGACAGGGCTCTCGACATATGAATATGATAAATTTTTCCATTTCCAGCGCTGCGACAAATTAATCAAAGCATTTCTAATCTTATAAAAACTTTTTTCGTGGGACTGTCCAGTAGCTAATTTGATTCCTCAGCGAGAGTTTAAATATTCAAAAATTTCATTTTGCTATTTTAGAAACTATTTGCTGTCGAACAACTGAATCTTTTCTTTTAGCACTGGCGCGAGCGTTTGGGTGTGGTGGCAACAACTGGTCAATTAAGAAACATTTCAAATTTCAATAGACTTCGACATTACATTAGCGATAACATGAACGCCTGTAAACCACTTGACGCCGGTGACCTGCGATCATTCGCTATTTCTGATCGACATACTGCATCATCGATACCATCTACAACTGGAATTGGCTTCAGTTGGTTAAATTGAAAATAAGTATAGAATTCAGATGTGCAATAAGGAACGTATATACTTTATAATGGACTTTTGAAAACGAGGTAGTTATTTTTTAAGTAGTCTAGTAAAAAAATTTTTTGGTTTGGATACAAGCGTGTTGAGCTACAAAAAGGTATTTTTGGTAATGAATTGTTTTATTTCAAAAAAGTAGATTTTTTTCATTTTTTTCAGTACATATCATGAAATTTATTGAAAAAAAAGTTTTTTATAATAGCGTGCACACACAAACACATACGCGCGCATATATAAACGCATATATAAAAGACCCGTATGGGCGAAAAAAAGGATACTAGGATACTAGATATCAAAATAAGATTCTTTGTCGAAGAAACATATCTCTAAAATAAATTGAATGATGTCCCAAAGATTGGGCCAAATTTAAAAAACCCTGTTTGGCTTATTTAGAGCGCCCAATAGTGTCCAAATGTATGACCGACCCCCCACTAACTTTGGAAGGCCTATCACCTCCGCCTAGAGGTCCCCCATACAAACTATAAACTAATATAATGCCAAGCATAGGGCTTGGCATTAGGAGTTTTCAGTTTCAGTTACAGGAATTAATTAATTTATTTTCGTAATCTTTGTTATTGTTTTAAATGTGCTCAAAAAATATTAAGCAAAGTTTCTTATTTAAATTTTATATAAATTAAATATTTTCGAATATATTGACATTATTTAATATTGTCAATGTGTTTTTTGAAAGGACACATTTAGATGCAGATTGTTTTCTGATTAAATATTTGCGAATGTATTGCCATTGTTAATGCATTGTTTTCTTTTAATTAATCAAATATGTATTTTGTAATTTGTGTAATTATATAATATTGTTTTATGAACGAATTCCGATGGGTTTCAATAATATAATGTTGTTGCAATAAAACAAACTTATAATAGTGTACAATAACAACTCACAATCAATATAATTAAAATCGTAATTATAAATAGAGCCCGCAAAAAGTGCACTTTTGTTCATATCAGTTCCATATTGTAAACAATTTGATATAAAGATATATATATTAAATTCATTGGTCAGACAAATATTGTATAATTCATTCCTTTTATTCTTATTGTATAATTAAACTTTAAATTCTGTAAACAATATATGATATAAAGTTTATTTTCGTTTTTTGCAGACTCTATTTATAATTACGACTTTAATTATCCTCATCTATATTTATATTACTTTTCTTTTGCTATAATGTATTGTTTTATCGTTTTATCGGTTTCGCAGATAAAAAGGAATAAACTAAAAAAAGTTATATTTGGCGGTCAAAAATGATTAAGACATATGCACATCAAATTATTGGAGATTTTGTTAATAAGTACAATTTTTATTTATATTTCTATGGGTTTCGTACCAAGATTCATTATTAGACACCGATTGTTTGACAGTTGAGGACTGCAACGCGGCGCTTACGCGCTTCGATATTACAAAACAAATTATTGTACATTTTTTTTAATTACGGTACGGGATGTGCCAGCAATTTACCTTAAGGCACGATGTTTTGCATGCATGTTTTTGTTATTATATTTCAAATATACTCTAAGAAAGGTCGACAAAAACTATCTGGAGAGTTTTGACATGTAGTGCTGGAGACGAATAGAGAAGATAAAGTGTACAAATAAGGTAACAAATGAAGAAGTCAAGACAAGTCGGCGAAAAAAGAACTGTACTGTGCACAATCATTAAAAGAAAAGGAAACTGGAACGGATCCATTCTGCAAAAAGAGTGCCTTTTACATGACGACGTGGGAGGTAAAATAGTAATATATGGGAGACGGAAGAAAAAGAATACAGATGATTGATGAATTACGCGAGAAGAGAAAATACAGGGAACTGAAAGCCGAGGCGCAAGATCAGGAAATATGAAAGCAGAAAAGGAAAATGCACAAAAGTCTTATTGTGTTACTATATTTTACTATGAAAATGGTAGAGAAGGAAGGGAAAGGATATCATTGATATGTGGTGGCTCTCACACCATGGACCTGCCTTCGGGCAGAATACCATTTATTATCTTATATATTCCTTGTAGATACGCCGTTGGGTGTATTCACTAATTTCTAATCAATATTATTTTTTAATGTATTTTGTTAGCAGTCAGCGTATTGTTTTTGTATAAACAGATCGCATTATAAAGTTAAACTCGGCAGGTGTTTTTAAATTGTTTTGGTACCAAAAAATGTATGTTGTACTCTGGAATAAATTTATAGTAATAAAAGGAAAGTGTGTCTAAATAATATTGAGGTTATCTTTCATGCCTTTTGGTACCAACCTATAAATTGCGTTCTTGTACTGCCAAGAGACATCGTTTGCTATCTCCAGCTTCGTGCCCATTGCAGTTTCTGTAAAGAACATATTAATTTATTACAAACATCAATATACGTTTATTTATTGAGTAATGAGGCCAATTAGCGATACTTATTTAATGAAAAAAGCGATAGCAAATGAATCTCTTTAGATTTTATTTATCGTCAAGAGCAGTTAGATGCACATATTTAACCTTTATAATTAATTTTATTCCGATAATGTTGGTGTTGAAGAACCATGAATGGTTCAACTAATTAGTGTACATCAATGTCTGAATGAATATTTTGGTCTTGCGTAAAATAGCACGAAACATCAGAATACATATATTAAAACTACAGAATTATACATTAATACACATGTATATCTGTGAATCTGTAGTGTGCCTTGGCGGGGCTTCGTATAAAAATTTAGTTTTGAGTCCTTAGAAAGGGCAAAGATTTTTTACAAAAAAATTTTATAAAATTAAATGCAATATTTATCTATCATAATTATGCGTCACTTACTACAACTTTTTGATCAATTCAAATTAAATACACACATTTCTTGCCTGTTTCTGCAAACTGGTATACTAAATCATTCATTGCTGATTTTAAACTTTAGTTTTTCTCAAGTTTCTGCCTCTACGGAAAATTTGTGAAGTTTTTCTTGATTTTTGCTTACTCACTTTGGTGCCACTCCAATGGGGTGTAATGGGGGAATACGGCAGATACAGCAATAGCCTTTTCAATGCTTTTTTTTTCATACATTTATTACATATTTTCCGTCGTTATAACTAACAATAAGTCGGTGTATACAAAGCAGAGGTATTCGGCCTGGATACTTCTTCATGCCGATCTATGTCGATGAAGTTTTCTAATACAATAATTAAAATTTTTGTCTCGGATGATGATTACTCAATGTTATATAAATGAAAGGAGTGCATTACTTTTGAATATTATACAAGTTCACATAGTAAACAGAAATGTTCTTTTATTATTAATCTTCTATCGTGAGCTGTGCACCATTCGTACATACAAATAGACAGATAGATAGATAGATTATTAAGACGACAATATTTAAAATCGTTTCTATATCATAATTTTATATTTTTATATTTAATTAATTTTATATTTAATTTTTATATCATAATTTTACTGTTAATAGTAATACAGAGCCAATATCAAGCAAACAAAAATTCGAAAGATTCTCTCTAATATTTAAAAAGCTTATTTAGAGTGAATCTTATAACAACTCAATTTGAATCTAATCAGCAATTCGAAAATGAATTATTTATAAATAATATGGATACAACATATCATATACTTTTTGTATATAGGATTTTAGTCAAATTGAATTTACCAGCACTCTGTTCGCCATATCGTCGAAACTCCTGGAACTTGATCTATTAAATATGAATGAGTTCTAGGAATTGGTAATATAAAATCAAACTATTTTTTAATATCATTTTGAAATAGTTCAAATTGGCTTAGTTCCATGTTGTTGTGATAAGATAGATTACAAAAATGTTTAGAAGTTCGTGATCCACCGAGATGCTGCCGAACTGTATTAAAATTTACACTTTGCTTATATTTTGAACGACCAGATATATTTAGATAATGGCTATATCAGACCGATTAAAAGATGATAAGTAGTTTAATTGTTGTATATTTAAATGAAATAATACGATATTAAGATTTATAGATGTTATGTTACTTAATTGAAGTTTGAATTAATACTGTTACTTAGTTGAATTTTGAATTAATACTCCTTTGAGTGTTGATTTAAGACTGATTATAAAAATTTTATAATTTTATATAATTTTTCTGATTAGTTCGTTTTTGTGGGCTCAAGCGACATCCCATTGCGTTTTTGACCAATCAGGTATTAACTGGTGATTCCATGGTACGTAGAATTAAACCGGGTACAGGTGATCCGAGTTTCTTAGAAATATAGGTTAATTGCAGGATGATATATTTAGGAACAGAATGCATGACAATAATATGGATTATTTTAATTTGAAATAGTATAATAATGGATGAGGGTTTATTATTGCTATTCTTAGGCGTTAACACATGTTTATGGTTCGTTAATGGTTAAAACACAAGCCTAAGGATAGCAATAATAGGCGTTAACACATGTTCTATAATATACATATTTCTACCACGAGCGTAACTCTGCCAAGTTAATAATATCAAATCTACATTTTTTTTAATTTCCCACATGACAAAATTGAAGAAAAGAGTAATTTAATAAATAAGCTCACTGAAAGAAGGCATATAGAGTGTAATAGTGTGCACAAATTTGAGTAAGACTTCTCAATTTAAACGTTCCAGGCTTAACAATTCGGGTAAATGTTTTTATTTTTAAGTTGGTTTATTGACATATGTGTCAAATTTTACGTCTATTGGTTCATTTCACTATTTCATTGGTGTAGTAGCTACGCTTTAAGTGCTCGAAAGTTGTTTCTTCGATTTTGATAATTATCAAATTAATGTCTGAAATTATATAACAAAGAAGTTGCATTAAGTGTTGCGCCCGAAATGAAATATCAGCAGTGCAAATATTCAGAATGTATTGCAGAAGGTATTTGGTGAAAAGTTAAAGTCAAAACCAAATGTTTTTGCTTGGCACAAATTATTTAAAGAAGGTCGACAGCGCGTTGAAGACGAACCCTATCAAAACATGTACTCATAAGCTGCACGTCAACAAAACCAAAGACTTGGCGCTGCAAATTCGTCGAACGACTACTAGAAAGCTTTGATATTGTTGAAATTTCAAATGGGTCAGTCAGAACCATTTTGAAAGTCGTTTTTGCACTACAATAATGCACCATCGCACATTGCACTCGTTCTTTTCACCAAAAAAATAACCAATATCGTTCCGCAACCACCGTATTCACCTGATTTTGAATTGTGTGACTCGAAAGATCGTTGAGTGGACATCGTTTTGAGTTGATTGAAGACATAAAAGCCGAATCGAAGAAGGAACTAATGGCTATTAAGGAAGACTAGTATAAAAGTATCATGAAACTTGGAAAGAGCGTTGGCATAGTTGCATTGCATCCAAGAAGCATTAGTTTGATGGGTATGAATTAGATTTGGAAGAAGAGATAAAGATTTCAAAAGCTTTAAATGAAGTCTTATTCATATTTGTACATATCAGTAGTATATATAATTTTAATTGTTTGTGACAGATAGATAATTATGATGAATAAATATTTATATTCTCACTATTTCATTAACTTGTCTTACAATGGTAATTTTTATTTCTTCTTTAATATATATATATATATATATATATATATATATATGTATATATATATATATATATATATGCATGCAGAAAATGCGGGCGCACGCCTTAGGGGGCGCTAAAACAAGATTCGGAAACGAAATTTATAATATATTATTCGTATTTTTTATAGATTATTATTTTATAATAGATTATAATAAACAATCTAACTTAACTTTGGATACGTAGAAACAGAAAGCATATTCAGTTTGCAATGTGATATCTGTAGAAACAATTAATTACTCATGCAAATTAGTAAATCATTGTTCTGCTTATTATTTAATAAACTTATTAAATTTTCCTTCGATCAAAGTTAATGTGGAATAGAAAAAGAAATTATCTAGTTTTCAATACCGTAAGCGCAAACGAAAGTTTAAATTATTGGGCATTTGACGAAAAATTGCGAGGTGATTTAGTTTGAACGGAACTTGTTAAACAAAATATATACAAATTATAATAGAGAAAAATGGAAAATGGGAAGTCAGTGCTTAGAAAATGACTATAAGACCGAGAAACTTAATTGTAACTTTTGTATTTGTTGAAAATGTTTCGCATCTGATTAACTTTGAACTTTGAAGACATGCGTGGTTTATGGAAATGGAGCAAATATGATAAATGGTAGCAAAATTTAATTAGAAACGAAACTTGTGAGCTTTTTTCCATACTAAATTTAATTATTAACTAAGCAGAAATAATACAGATACAAATATAATTGTGTTTTGTTTTCGATATAGTTCAGGAAATATGTAATTTCTTTGCATCTTTTAAAATACGTCAAAAATTTAACTTTAAAACAACAATCTGATATTCTGAATCAGATGGGAAAGTAAACATGAATACAATTTGGCTTCACGATATCAATAAGTTACTGATGCAATTTTGGATATTGTAAATAATGAAAACGAAATTAAAATAAAATTTAAAAAATCTAACATGAAAAATTAATGTAATGTTTAAAAATGAAAATGAGTTTAATGAAATAAGTAAAATGTTTCAAAATCCAAATATTAATATTACATATAAAAAATATGTAATATGAAAATATGAAAATATAAAATATTTTATTATGGTCAACCCGCGCAAATCGCTTCGATTTTCTAAATAAAATTAAAATCAATGTATTTTATACGCTTTTAGATTATTTCTAATTTTTAGTGTGAATTTACGTAAATATTCATATAATTTTAATGATAAATGTTAAAACAGTTAAAGTTATTTGGGGGGGGGGGTCTAGAACAAATCTTGCACGCGGGCGCTGAGGACCCCAGGACCGGCCCTGTATATATATATATATATATATATATATATATATATATATATAATGTGAATGTGTGCCTACAATGTATAGATCGCTTACCACATATTGAATGCAAAGCGAAATCGGTAACGTAAGGGCAGATGTCCGTTTCTTGTCTGTCGCACTCGTCGGCCAGACGCTCGGCGAGCGCGTTGCCTTGTTCCCCGAAGACGGCGCAGAATTCCTGCAGGACGGTCGAATGGAAGGCGGGCGTCAGGATTTTGCGTCGGGACTGCCATTTGCTACCTGGAACAAACGTCACCATTCGTTTTAATTCATTAAATCAAATCTGCAATGATAGCATCGGGCAGTTTTATGAATATAAATGAAAGTGCTGTCCAAAATTATATATTTTATTATTTTTAATAAAGAACTTATACTATCTTGCCATATATATATATATATATATATATATATATATATAATTCTCTTTACCACCAAAGCGACTTAAGAATAAAAGCTGTAATGAATTATTACGTCAAATTACATAAAATAAAAACAACTACTGAGTTGTTTTTTTCGACATGCCAATGTAGTATACAATGTCCCTTTTCGGCCGACTATTGTAAATTCATCAAATTTATTGAATGTCCTTTACTGCACAGTTGTAAATAAAAGAGATAATAATAAAAAAAATACATAAAATATATAAATGCTCTATTTGCAGAAGGTGCTAAACAGGATAGCTATCCTTTACACGCCGTCATATTAAATTAACTGTGATAGTGGCCGAATGTACTTGTTGTATAGCTTGCTATGTAAAATAAAACAAAACACACACACATACATACACACACACATATATATATATATATATATATATATATATATTATATATTATTCAGTGGCTAATTAAAATATCTGATACTCAATATATGACTATATTATTAAACTTAACACATTTCATATCAATTTTAGCAATACAACAAATACCAAATGCAAGGAATTCAAATATTACAATATGTACAAGAAATGTTTATTGAAGAATCAACACGTAGTAGCAAACAGGTGTTTCAACCAAACTATCAATATTTAAAAATAGAAATGAGTGAAATTCGTTGACACGAAATATTCACTTGTATATCCTTTTGATTTTTAGTAAACAAATATGCGCATTCTTAATTAAAAATGATCTATATTATCAATATTTAAAAAAAGAAATGAGTGAAATTCTTTGACACGAAATATTCACTTGTATATCCTTTTGATTTTTAGTAAACAAATATACGCATTCTTAATTAAAAATTGTCTATTTCTACTATTCTATATAACAACCAAAAACCACAACGACTTAGATTGTTTATGAGCATTCATTTGCTTTGTTTAATATATATATATATATATATATATATATATATTTATATATTATACATTATATATATATAAACAAGCGATTGCGGTGGATGCTGATAAAACTAATCATTTATTTGTTTTGATATGTCCAAAAATCAAACTTAAATCATCGCTAAGAACTTTATTAGGAGCCAAGGTCTATAATAAGCTTTCTGATGGATGGAACAATTTTAAAAATATTGTTAAAAATTATTTACTAAATAATCCGTATTATTTTATAAATGATTTATTAGAATAATTATGTATTGTAAATGACATAAATTGTAACTATTGAATTTTAATAAAGTTCTATTCTATTCTATGCTTTTCTATTCTATACAAATGCTCCCCGAACCAACTCCACGTCCACGTCGTGGGGAGCGGGCAACGAATTGCTGGCAACAGTTAATTCGGCTAAGTGAGTTGGCTGTTGTCATAAAGCAGCGACACCCGTATTGGCAGCAGCTACAGAACAAATTATGCCCAAAATACATCAAAATCAAACGGTCTAGATCGCTGTGACGTGGAAAAGAAAATTATCTACAAGAAAAGGGATCAAATGATATCTTTTTTACCACATAATGTTCCGCAATTGAGACCTCCTAATTTTCTTGTATTGAAAATAGCAATAAACTTGTGATGGATTTGCTTTTTAGATCAGCAACGTTGGCACAGAGCTCAGAAGAGGTAAACTGGATATAAAATACAGAAAAATTGACAACTATGAAGTAGACCTTATCGGACTGATTGTAAGTGGGAAAGGGTACAACGAAATCGCGGCATACGGTTTCATACTGTTTCATTTAAGAGGAGTGGAGTAGCAATTATAGTCAGGAACAAAACAAAAAGAAGTCTGCTGAATATGAACTTAGGAAGTGATCGACTGATGAATTTGAAACCGGAGATGATAAATATCTTGCTTTTATAGACTAGCAAAGCCTTCCATAGAGGCCTCGAACATGCTTATGGGACATTGAGGACTATTGGTATCGATTGTAAAAATCTAAGAATAAGTAAAAACTACGGGACACAAGGTGAGGCTGACCTAAGACAATATCAACTGCGTTAGAAATCGGAAGAAGAGTACGTCAACCGATCTATTCAATGTGTATTTGGAGTAGGTGGTCGAAAAAACGCTCAAAGGGAAATGAAAGTCTGGGAAAATAGAAATCAACTAGAAAAAACTAGAAAAAACAGGAATAGAGTGGATTAGACCCATGTCGGCCTGCATAACGTCATCGAAACACTGATGGAAAGATTGAAGGGATGAGAGCAAAGAAGAGTGCCGATTTGGGAAGAGTTACCCGAGAAAAAAATACAGGAAACCGCCGGCCAGAAACCGATGCGTTGGAATCGATGTTTGCGAACTAAAAACTGATCAATAAAGATCGGGAAGAGAGGTAAGCTATATTTATGTAGGAATATATATATATATATATATATATATATATATATATATATATTGTTATTGAACAATAAAAGTAAAAAAATTAGCAATAACATCGAAAGCTATAATATACATATATTCACATATACATATATACACAGGCGTGTATATAATTGAAGATGCACGTATGCATGCGAGTGTGAATATATTTCATAGGCTGAGCAAAATACGCAAGTGAATACGTGCGTACAACTATATGAATGTTCATAATAAGTAATTTAAAAACGGCTTTGTGTTCTGGTTCGGTCGTCCTTGCCTGAACAAATCAGGCGCAATACCAAACAACAAACGGCAAACAGACACGGTATCTAAAAATAGAATCATAAATGTTCGATGTAATATGACTTCATTCAAAAAATTCGTGTAGATCGCATCTTCGCGAATAATGGGCGTCTAATTGATGCTCGGCCTCTTGCCTACTCTCACGGACTACTCGGAGGCCCCTCTGTCTCGCAAACAACAAACAACAAATAAACAGCACACACTGGCCGAATGTGTTGTTTTCATGGAAAATATTATATATTAATTTTATTTTCATTTGTTGAATAATGACGTTATTAGCGTGCAGATCGCGGTTTGATTTCAATTATGCGAAAGGTTATTGGATATGTTGCATTAATCGGGAAGTATTTTCTCTCTTCTCCAAAAACTTTTGAATGTAGTAACAACCAAAGGCAGATTTAACACTATATACATACATACACCGTAAACAATACTATAAGGCAGTCGACGAGTATGATATAATTTATGTGATTTTTCTATGCAATTAATAAAATAGTGGTGTATGGCATCGTGCCTTAAGGCATATTGCTGGAACTTCCCGTACCGCAATGAAATGTTCGAGAAATATTAAATGTTTTGAAACAGATTATTATAAATTCTGTAATATTGTCTAATATTTATAAGAATTATATAAACTAAATTACAAAATTAAAATTATTCACTTAAAGTATATAAGTGAGCTTTAGAACTTTAACCAGAAATAAAATTGAAATCTGAATTATTTTCAGATAGATTCAAAAAAAAAATTGAAATAAAACTTTTTTTTCAAAAGCAATTATTTCGTCAACACAAGCAGAAAGTTTTTTGAATCATTGAAGCCGGATGCTTAATTCTCTCAGAAACTGCCATTTTTGGTACATTTATCTCTGTATCTTCTAAATGGCTGGACCTGCCTTTGTCAAAAACTAATCAGCACATCTCCCTTTCAATAAGAATCGAATGTTTTTTTGAACTATTCAAATCGGTTGATCCGTGCGCCCGAAAACGTGAACGAAAAAATGCGGACACACAAAACACACACACACATCCATTTTTTCTGAGGTATGCCAAAATGTTCAGAAACCTTCAAACTGTAGAGAGAAATGCAAAAAGTTTCATTTTCGATTTTCGGCCCATTACTATTACTACCTTACGGGAAGTTAATAAATTAATCAATAGATTGATTGAAAAATAATTCTAAATTATATTTCGTGCTCTCAACTTTATACTTTAACCGGAAAAGTATTATATATGGTAGAACAGGGCACAAAGGTTCAATTTGACTTTGATATGACAACAAGTAACACATACCAAACGAACAACATATCTGACAATGTTGAGTGAACCTCCCAGATAATTCATCATTGTAAAAATGCGTTTTTTTGTTGTTTTTCAAAAATTGGTTACCTGGTCCTTTTTAACCCATAGGCAGGGTAAATTGGGAGGCGCCAGGACGAAAGAGGTACAATGTCTTATTTGTGATTTAAGAAGAATTTTACTAAATAATAGTTACATTATTCAATCAATACAAAATATAAATTTGCATTTTTACAGAGATAATATTTTATATAACCTAAATCTGGTATTTTGTCAGAAATAATTATGTACAGTTTCGAATTAACTATTTATTTAACTTATTTTTTGTAAAATTGCTTTTTTATTAACATAATTTATTTGTTTATTTATAATTTTTCATTGTTTACATCTTTACCAGGATAAAGGCTCACATGGTCTTTACCCCACACACATGTAAGTTTCATAGAGGTTACATTAAAAAAACTGTTGAAACTAATTTAAAAATAACAATACATCTTATAAACATTTAGATAACGTAAACTTAAAAAATATGTTAAGGTCTGTAAATTAAATCACAGAATCAAAAAACTAATAACGGAAGAAAATACTTTTGTTACGGATTTTCAAACATTGTAGTTTATCTCCTGATAGCGGCGTAGCAAGGATCAAGATGATGGCTAGTTATACATCTTTTTCCTTCTACTTTCAAATATTGTTGTTAAAAAGTTCTTAACATAACTTGTTTTTAAGATATCGGTGGTGGCCCTTTTTACCCGAGACCTTTAAACCCGATCTATCCTATTTTAAAAGCAGATTTAACAATATTTGATTTTGAAAAAGTTCAATTGATTTTATTTAACAAGTTTTAATTGGTAGAGAATATGAAATATAATAAGTAGCACTTTCGCCA